GTGCTGCATATATGCTGAAAAAAGTGAAAAAACAGCATAACTTCCCTAAAAATGGCCCGATCATGCTGATTTTGGAACTTGACCTGCGTATTATGAATATTCATCAGTTTTGTAAGTTTCAGACCAAAAAGTAAAATGGTTTTCCACTTATCGTGTTATCAGTGCTGCATATATGCTGAAAAAAGTGAAAAAACAGCATAAATTCCCTAAAAATGGCCCGATCATGCTGATTTTCGAACTTGACCTGCGGATTATGAATATTCATCAGTTTTGTAAGTTTCAACCCAAAAAATAAAATGGTTTTTCACTTATCGTGTTATCGGTGCTGCATATATGCTGAAAAAAGTGAAAAAACAGCATAAATTCCCTAAAAGTGACCCGATCATGCTGATTTTCGAACTTGACCTGCTTATTATGAATATTCATCAGTTCTGTAAGTTTCAAGCCAAAAGGTAAAATGGTTTTCCACTTATCGTGTTATCGGTGAAAGTGCACGACGGCGACGACGACGACGACAGACGCAGGTGATGGCTATATGTACAGACACATCTGTGTCTGTACATAAAAATATACTTATATATGTGTAATTTTTCAACCAGTATGAAACAGCTATTGACTATGCGAAAAATTAGTTTTCTGAACACATTGGTGATCAGATTTTAGTATTACAGTCAGGATAACTGTATCCGACTTATCAACTATGCCCCCAGGGCAAGAAAACGGGCTGGTTTCACAAATGAACATAAAAATGACAGTAGGTCTTACAACTAAAAAATATGTTCTGCTACAGTCCAGAATAAATCTGTAATAGTCCATTTAAACAAAGTAACAACTGGTCCAAAATAAAACCATTTAGGTGGACTATTACTACTCAGTCTCAGATATTAATACATTAAAATTTTTGTGTTTCAACCCAAGTTCCTGTAAATGGGCCTGATTACAACTCTGTGTAGATAATGTCCTTGATCAGAATAATGACTAAAATGCAGGAAAAATCTTTGAAAACAATGCCTCTTGGGCAGGCATGCAGTTTTGACATTTTTTTAATGGGAAGGGAGGGATGCATTTACAACATCAATTTTAAAAGATATCATATGTATAGTATACTATACACACACCTTCCCGCTGTATTTCTGAACTTACAATACTGTAACTATGACAACTCACTTTGCATCCTTCGCAGGTAATCACTCCATAATGCACACCTGATGATTTGTCTCCACACACTTTGCATGGTATAACCTCTATCTGGGCTAGAAAAGAAAAGATGAGACAAACTTAGGTTAATTTCTTCCTCTTTTTGTCATATCGCACCTGTGGATGGTTTCTCTAAAGAGCTTTAGATCAAAAGGTGATCTTTTAAAAAACAGACCATATTTCAGTTGAGTGAAGTACTATCACATAACCCTTGTCAAATCTGATTCAGAACTTAGGTCCATCAGTTCTTTTGTGGAGCTGACCCATACCTTCATGTTTTTTTTCCATAAATTATATATATATATAATCATACATAATATTTGATTTTGTTAGTCACTCAGTGGTCACCTTTATAAAAAAAAGGTCATTTTTTGTATTGTTACCTTATTTTGCATGAAAAAGCAGGGCACATAAAAAATGGTATTTTATGTACATACATAAAATATATTAATCTATTATGGAGAGAAAAATAATCACTAAAGAATGATGTTAGCAAAATATTTAGTTTTCTTGATATTATAGTATTCTTTGAAAGATCCTTTTGCTGTGCAATTATAAATCCAGTTGTACTTAAAAAGGAGAAGTGGCACTGTGGAAAGATTACATGCACATTCTTTCATTCATTTATCAATACATTGCATGTCACTTCTACTTTCTCAATTCACTCTTAACATTTAGGAACACTACTGTAACAATTGCTTGGCTGAAATAAAAAATACATAGTGCATCTACCAGATCTTTTGGCTTTCTTCCATTAAAAAAAAAACATTTGCCATTGGCCTCTATATATATTTATCATTATTCTCCATCTAGTGAATCAGACTTTCAAAGTGCAAAAGACAGGCAGTTTTACTGCAGCATTAACTATGCAAGATTCTGCTCTTAATCGTCTCATTAAATTTTTTTCTTACTTTTTGCCTCTTTACACACTGAATTTATAACAAAGTATCATGGGCATGCTTGAGGGAAGTCATGTGTTTTTTAATATAAACATCCACAATACAAAAATTCGCAGTGCACTATAAAAATCCATCATCTTTCATATAAGCAATCTGACAGGGCCACAAAGTACAACATTCCTACCAGCAATGTGGCAGACATACCTGATAAATCTTGATCCTGGTGCAGCAAAATTAATTTTGGCTATAAAGAACTACTACTCTCACTAGATAACATCTATCTGAACATAAAAAGAAAGTCCATATCAAAACTGACATTGTATTCTTATCAATTTGGTTTGAAATCTTTTTATCCCTGCTTATGGTTCATAGGTTTAATGCTCTTCTCTTGTTTGGAATCGTACTCATAAGGCTGTCAAGGTGATAAGCTAAATTATATTTCTACCTGAAAGTTCCATGCTCTTCACTCCTATATCAAGTTCTCTTATGTACAATGTTCTCATTTCTCTCAACTAACCACATGATCACTAACTGGATGATTATCTTATCACAGGTACAGATGACCGTTCGTTTGCCAAAACGTTCAAAATTTCTCAACAAATTATTTTGACACGTTGCACTAGGACAAAACAAACATTTTGCTTTAAAGCATGCAACTTTTTAAAGCTATTAAAACACTGAAAACTCAACCATGATCTTTCCATGAAATGTGCACATTTACACAATGTATATTTTTCTGGAGTTTAAATAACGTTTTACGGTTAAGGTAAAGCAGGGATGCTTGTGAGATTACTGATGACAAACAAACCAAGTCAAAGTAACTATGCAGCGTCTACAGCACCATACTGATGCTTCTATCACATTTAACTGATAAAACCAGGGAATGTAAACAATGGGGGGAAAACTTGGGGATGTATTATCACCGATACATAAAGAGGTATCCTACTTGTATCATTTCACAGCTCCTGCTGACAAATTAAATTTCCTCAGGTAGAGGAGCCACAGCAATATTTTCATCAGTACTAGTTGTTTCACATTAAACCAAACAAAATATCAAATCCTAAAGGCAATTACAGATTGCGGTTAGCTAACATTTTTTTAATCTGCTGCTGATAAAAGTTGGTAAAATAAAATATGTGAGGAAATAAATTCACTTTACATGCAGCATGAGAGCATTTGATAATTTGACAGCAAATAAACCTGTCAGAAATCAACAGGTGAAAACTGTAAGCTAGAAGAGATCTTCCAGAAGTCAAGCAAAGTTCATGTTTACCCAATGTCATTTGGTCAACCCACCAGATGAAATTAATTGGAGATTATAGCTTAACAGTATTGGAAATGATTGTTCTGGTTTTCACCACAGGAACTCTTTGACCAGATATCAAATTATATTAAGGGTATAGAGTGATGGGAATTGACTCTCGTCCCTTTTTACTGGACCTCTATAGTCAAAAGCTTTCAATATCATGATTAGCTTTTGATATGAGACCCTAAAATACAATTCCATGCATCTTTCAGTCAAAAATGGTCTTTAAAAATTCAGAATAAAACTGTATACAGTATCATAACCTTTTTATTATTATATTTTTTTGACAATGAAAAATAAATTTCCCACTTAATACAATGAATCCAATTTAACTGAACTGTGCAGGAATTGTCCCTTTACCAAATGGTATAGCCACAAAAATCTACAAATCATAAAGGAATAAAAGGTGTTGTTGAAATGAACAGGTGCATCACCATGAAAACTGCTGAATAGACAATTCTTTTTATTTGCAAATAAAAAAAAACAACATCACTGTTTAAAATAATCATTAACATATGCTATAATTTAAATTTTTACTGCCAACAGTAAAATCTGAGGAATACAATATGTTCAAGCGACTGGATGTTGCTTCCTATGCAATATGAAATCTACTAAATTTTAGGATTGATACATAATTCACAACATGATAGTGAATGTTTCAGAAACTCAGTAATAAATAGATAACTTTTAATATTATCTTTTTTTAAATCATCAAAAATATGCTTCAGGTTTTTAACAACATTAACTGTGAAAAGTGGCACATGACAATAGTGAGGTTATTATAAAGATTAAAATCAATTGATAAAAGTCTTCACTTACCTCTTGCTGTTTTGTCACTTTGAATGGTTGTATTGCTGAGAGTGAGATCTTCCAGGTTACCTAGAAAATAACAAACAACTTTATCAGTTCTAGCATATTTTAACAATTAACTTCTCTTAATTCTAATGACTACAAACTATCATTTAAGCTTGCCACATACCTAACCATATTTGCTGTCTACAATGTAACATATCTACACCTTAATGTCTTATTCTCTTTGTGACTGGTTTAGCAAGTAAGTTATTATGTTAGTTACATCCCCTCCAAGAATCAGGCATCAAACATGATCATCATTTACTAAATAAATGTGCTTATTTAAAGTCTACATTGTTCAAACTTTCTTTAACAATATATTAAGTGAGTGCTTCATGGAAAATGCCCTTTCACAGAGTTTGTCTGTAACTTACAGTACAGAAGTTTTTCTCATATCAGACTGTGCCATCAACTCTCCAGCCTACTGGTTAACACTTTTGAATATAAGTTTACCAAATAAAATATTTAGTAGCTAAAAAAATAATCTAAAAAACTTAAACTTCTGCGAGTTCCATTAAACAAGAGACTTTGAAAAAACCTAATTATGTCCATCATCCAGGTAAACTGTCAATTGCCTTGGACCAACAGCTAACTATAGTACTCTTCTGGTGGAGCGCTTTGACCCCGAGAACGTTTGCACTTGGGTGGGTCGTTGCAGATGTACACATTGTCGTTTTTAGATGTACACATTGTCGTTTTTAGTACTAAAGTAGAGTTTTTATTTTTTATCATTTGTATATCATTGGGGGTGTCCATTCATGGGTCATTGACCCTTTAGGCAAACCCTTTTGGGTACAATCTTATTTTTGTATTATTTTAAAGTGACGTCGTACTATTAGTTGCAAGTTGTTTTATTATGCTCTTTTAATAATCTTGTATATAATCTTGTACCCAATAAAGTCATTCAAATCAAAAATCAAATAACCTGGTAGACTGAAAGTGCACTGCTTTTGAAAATCAGAGAATATTTTTCTTATTCTTTTCCACTGAGCATTGAAAAACAACAAAAACAAACATGTAAGATTGGGCCTTAGAGGTGTAAACAGTTACACATGTATTGATTCTCAACTGTAATTACACCTAAGTGGCATGTCTAGTTACAAACTAATCAAACCTATATAGTCTGAGAGTCCTCTTGCACACAAAACTGCAGTGGCATTATCATCTAAATCTTAGGATTCAATGAGTGAGATGCAAAAAAATCTATCCTTAAAACATATTGGATATTTTTAAAAGTTTATTCATTTTGTTACATGCAAAGAGGTATAGGTACACACAGACCCCTCCCACCACCTGCAAAGATGCCATAGCCATACACCAAAATATTCTAAAATATTTGGAATGCAAACAGTGCATATGTATAAGACAAAGATAAGCAAACTTTTTAGGGGGACTTTAGGACTGACAATTATGACTGAGAAGATGACACCCAAAACAGCAACAGAGACACCTGAATATATTTCCAAAAGAGCAACTATTTTCGCAGTCTTTTATTCAAAATATTATTCGTTAATTCGCAAACAATAAATTTGCATAATGGACTGTATTTCAGTGATTACACAATAATGTCAGTCCATGTAAATAAACCCTATAGTGTGTGTTCTTGTGCAGATATTGTGCGAGTTATGATTGTGAAAAGGAAGAGAAATCCACATGGAGAGGTCCGCCATATTGATTTACCAGGCCTAGATCGTAAACACTCCCGCATTCCAAAGATTTCCGTTGATTTTCTCTCCATCTCAACAAAATTCGACCTACCTTTCATATTTGTAGTCATCTTGCTACTAAATCATTGATGTTTACTTGGTGTATCGATGGGATTTCACCGTTAACTTTTCCAAAATCACTGATAAGATCAACCACCGCGAAACTGGATTATTATGCTAAAGGTCGCCCGCATGACATTAACATACATTAACCCCCTTCTGACCTTTAGGCGGCCATGGCCTCATTCCCGGGCCTCAAAATTAAGCATGGTGGGAAATTATTTTTTTCATAAAATACAAAATAATATGTTCAAATCAGATACCATGGGATATAACATACCAAGATGAATAAAAAATACAATTATTTTCCTTCAAAGTCTCCACACTTCATCTTAGG